GGCCACGTCGGACTGCACACAGACCTTGGTTTCCTCGTTTAGCGCGAGCGACGCCCTCATTGGCTCGCAAACGGCCACGTCAGACTGCACACAGACCTTAATATTTCATGCTGCGTGATTGTGAAGACAATTAGATTGAAAATGAATTATTACTTTTTCATTATTTTCTACTTTGAAATTAATATACTTTGATATTTGTATTCTTTAATTTCAGATAATGGCTGCGTTCAGCAGAACGTTTGTTTTGCAACTGAAAGAAGTTTCCTTCGCGCTAATTGGATCATACTTTTAGATCTAGAAGAATGGTCCTATCACAGCAGACATTCATAAAACGGTTGAAAAACTGTGTCTGCTGAACGCAGCCATTATCTGAAATTAAAGAGTACAAATATCAAAGTATATAAATATCAAAGTAGAAAATAATGAAAAAATAATTCATTTTCAATCTAATTGTCTTCACAACTACACAGCATGATATATTAATGTCTGTGTGCAGTCTGACGTGGCCGGTTGTGAGCCAATGAGAGCATGGCTCTTTCTAAACGAGGAAACCAAGGTCTGTGTGCAGTCTGACGTGGCCGGTTGCGAGCCAATGAGCGCCTGGCTCTTTCTAAACGAGGAATCCAAGGTCTGTGTGCGGTCTGACGTGGCCAAGGCCGAGCCAATGAGCGCCTGGCTCTTTCTGGCAAAACCTAACCACACCTCCCCTCTGCCAGTTACATAAGAAATTATATGTCTAGGTGTTCACCGTCGAGGAAATAAGTGACTAGGTGTTGTCTACATGTTCGCCGCCGAGGAACAGTGTCTAGGTGCTGTATACGCGTTTGCCGCCGGGGAAAATGAGGGTTTTCGCCGTCGACGAAATGGGTTTCTAGGTGCTCGCCGCCGAGGAACAGTGTCTAGGTGCTGTATACGCGTTCGTCGCCGGGGAAAATGGTGTCTAGGTGCTCGCTGCCGAGGAACAGTGACTAGGTGCTGTATACGCGTTCGCCGCCGGGAAAAAGGGTGTCTAGGTGCTCGCAGCCAAGGAACTGAGTGTCAAGCTGATGTCTGAATGTTCCCCGTTCGGGGAATGAGTGTCTAGGTGCTCGCAGCCGTGGAAACGAGTGTCTAGCTGATTTCTGAAGGTTCCCCGTTCGGGGAATGAGTGTCTAGTTGCTCGCCGCCGTGGAAACGTGTCTAGCTGATGTCTGAACGCTCGCACCCCGGGGAAGGAGTTCTCCGGTACTCGCACAAGAACCGAGGTGTTGACGGCATTCTCGCACAACGGGGAAGGAGTTCTCCGGTACTCGCGCAAGAACCGAGGTGTTGACGGCATTCTCGCACCCCGGGGAATGAGTTTTCCGGTACTCGCGCAAGTATCGAGGTGTTTTGCGTCCCGGGGAATGAGTTTTCCGGTACTCGCGCAAGTATCGAGGTGTTTTGCGTCCCGAGGAATGAGTTTTCCGGTACTCGCGCAAGTATCGAGGTGTTTTGCGTCCCGGGGAAGGAGTTTACCGATACTCGCGCAAGTATCGAGGTGTTTTGCGTCCCGGGGAAGGAGTTTGCCGGTACTCGCGCAAGTATCGAGGTGTTTTGCGTCCCGGGGAAGGAGTTTGCCGGTACTCGCGCAAGTATCGAGGTGTTTTGGGTCCCGGGGAAGGAGTTTGCCGGTACTCGGGCAAGTATCGAGGGGTTTTGCGTCCCGGGGAAGGAGTTTTTAAGGTACTCGCGCAAGTATCGAGGGGTTTTGCGTCCCGGGGAAGGAGTTTTAAGGTACTCGCGCGAGTATCGAGGGGTTTTGCGTCCCGGGGAAGGAGTTTGCCGGTACTCGCGAGAGTATCGAGGGGTTTTGCGTCCCGGGGAAGGAGTTTGCCGGTCCTCGCGCAAGTATCGAGGGGTTTTGCGTCCCTAGAGGAGCGGGGACCGGTCTGCCCGCCAGCTAGTGGCCCCGATTCCCGAACTAGGGG